ACACACACACACACACGACTAATTACCTTCTTTGGCACAGCTTGGTTTCAACCCAAATATACAACCAAGTATTGTTGTTAACACACATACTGACAATACCTGTAGGGAGAAAAGATAAAATTATATGGTTTCTTTTTTAAAAAATATTTTATTATTTTATATTTTTAGAGATAGTGTCTTACTCTGTTACCCAGGCTAGGGTACAGTGGCATGATCATAGTTCACTATAACCTCGAAATCCTGGCATCAAGGGATCCTCCTGCCTCAGACTCCCAAAGTGCTGGGATTATAGGCAAAAGCCACTATGCCTGGCCTTATACAGTTTCAAAATCCTTTCATTTCTCCTTTTATTGCTTTAAATGTTTCTAAATTTGCTGGTGCTGTTCTTTTTTCCAACCTGGGGCTAGTCACATAGATGTGTTCACTTTTTGAAAATTCCAGCTATACACATGTGATTTGTATACATTTCTGTAAGTATTTTGTACTTCAATAAGAAGTTTACTCAAATGTCAACCAACCATTCTATACCATCCTATGTTAATGTAATTAGAAACTCTTCCAGTTAGTATAAATGAATTAGTCATAAAAATTATAATTATTAAGGGAAAGAGAGAGAAAACTCTATTTAGAGTCTGGATTACCCATGTATTAATCCATTAAAGGCAATATATAGAATATTATATGCCTCCTTTAACAGTTCTACACAAACCCAAACCTAACATCCTCACATGTACTGTGGCACCTTGTGGGAACAAGCCCTGAAGAGGGTCAACTGACAACCTCCCAGACCAAGTGTTACCACAAACTAGTTGTGTGATTTCAGGCAGGTTACTGAAGCTTTCTAGATACCAGTTTATTCATCTATACAATTTAAGGGTTGGACTACGTGATCTCTAAACATCTTTCCAGTGCTAACGCTTTGCCACTTTCCCATTTTTCACTCTTCTGGTCTTTGACATTTTAAAATAAGTGGACACACCCTACAACCCCTAAGAATCATGACGGAACTTCTATGAGTTAGAAGACAAAGGAGCAGAATAACCCACAGAACAATCCTCAAATTTTTTTTAGTGGGACAAAGTTTCCTTGAAAGCTCCCTGGAATGTCAGATTATAGGGCACCTTGATAAAATATTAATTGAGTACTAATGATGTGCAAAGACTGTTGTACACAGAAGGAAAAAATAAGAGATAGCTCAAGGAGTTTCTATTTGGGTACAAGAAGTTAAAAACAGCACATTAATGGCCCATATTTGGTAGGCCCTACAAACCTCCTGCAAAGTTCTACAGTTGTTTAAAGAAGGAGAAAGGTTGGGGTGGTTGGGGAGAGGGATATCAGAAACAGTTTCCTAGAGCAAGCTTTTGGCATGGCTCTGAATGGGGGGAAATGATGGCATGATGTTGCCAGGTGGAACTGGAGGAAGGGAAGAGAGGACAGAACACAGCAAACTTCTAGGAGAAAGGGCAGCATAAAGAAGGGTTCCAGGAAGGCAGGCACATGGAAGGTGGCAGATGAATAATGAGCAGCCTATCTTAGCTGGAACCAAGAAAATGCAAAGGGGAATGGACAATGGGTGGAGGTATGGAAAGGTGGTGTAGTATTTCCGGAAAGCTAAGGTGAAGAGACAGGAGGAATGGGTGAATAGGACCAAGTGGATGGTGGGTGGAAGCTTTTATGAATTCATTCCTTCAGATGAAGAATATCGAGTACCGACTATGTACTGGACATTCAGTAATAAAACAGACATGACCTCTGCTCTCAACTTGTCTACTGTCAAGTGACCGCAAAGACTTAAGAGGAAGTGAATGGTAAGGAAAGTGAGGCCGCAGGTCTAACTTACTTCAAAATAAAATGGATAAAAGAGAGGAAGAGTTTTTGCAAAGAGAGCAAAAGGTTAGCCTTCTTTAAGGACACAAAAACGTATGTTTGTGTGTGTGTGTGTGTGTGTGTGTGTGTATTCATTAAAATAAGGAGGTATCAGAGGAAGAGCTTGAACAAATAAGTTAACAAGGGCAAATATGCAGAACAAGGTATCAGAAGACAGTAGTAATGGATTCTCCTAAACCTCTGATGGTGGTGTAAACTGACACAACTGTATGGAAAGATAATCTCTGAAAATATCTATCAAAAACATCAAAAACGGCCAGGCGTGGTGGCTCACGCCTATAATCCCAGCACTTTGAGAGGCTGAGGTGGGTGGATCACTTGAGGCCAGGAGTTCGAGACCTGCCTGGTCAACACGGTGAAACCGCATCTCTACTAAAAATACAAAAAAATTAGCCCAGTATGGTGGTGCACGCCTATAATCCCCGCTGCTTGGCGGTGCTGAGGAAGGAGAATCACTTGAACCCGGGAGGCGGAGGTTGCAGTGAGCACAGATCGTGCCACTGCACTCCAGCCTGGGCGACAGAGCAAGATGCTCAAAGATAACAACAACAACAACAAAAAGAAAAACCTAAAACAAACCAACAACAAAAAATACTGTTTTACTGTCAATTATAAATGTATAAGAAAATAAAACATAGTAAAACATCTATATTTAGTGTATTATAATTTAAAACATTTAAAACATGAAGAGTCGGCCAGGCACAGTGACTCATGCTTGTAATTCCAGCACTCTGGGAGGCCAAGGCAGGTGGATCACGAAGTCAGGAGTTAAAGACCAGCCTGGCCAAGATGGTGAAACCCCGTCTCTACTAAAAGTACAAAAATTTGTCAGTCGCAGTGGTAGGCTCCTGTAATCCCAGCTACTTGGGAGGCTGAGGCAGGAGAATCATTTGAACTTGCAGAGGCAGAGGTTGCAGTGAGCCATGATCCAGTCTGGGCAACAGAGTGAGACTCTGTCTTTAAAAAAAAAAAAAAAAAAAAAAAAATGAAGAATTGAAACTGAATTTATCTGTAAACTTATCTAGAATAGTCTAAACAGTACTTACCTTGTCTCATCTATCACATAACTCACAATACAGAGTGAGAATATTTTCTATGCCTTGGAGAATTATCATATTCCATATTCCTTTCTAAGTTTAGATCAGTTTCCAATGTTTTCACATAACCTTTGCACCTTCAACACTACGAAATGTCTCCAAGAGGAAGTTTTGTACCAGTGTCACTTCCTCTGGGATATCTTCATTCCTTTTCTCACAACCACTCCCGTCATTCGTTTCAAAAAATTCAGTTTCACTAGACTCCTCTGGATTCATATCTGGAGTCTATCACACCTGGCAGTGTTACCATTCCCATGGTTAGCTGTTTCTTCCATTAACTCCATTTACTTTGGCTTCAGTTTCACTTCCAGCATTATTACCTCTTTTCTTTTCTTTACTTTACTTTCATTCTTTATCAGTCCATTCACTCTTTCAATTATCTACTTTTTGAAAATGTCATATAGGTTTACGTAACTCTGAGAGGCAAAGCAACAACGCAACTACATGCTTTGCTGTCTGTGCATGAACTGACTAAAAGATGCCTAAGGGCTAATCACTGACAGACTTTGAAAGAAATGATGCAATTGGTCACTGACCATAATTTGCACTTGCTATTTGCACAGCGATTTGTGGATTGATGAGCTAGCAGCAAAGTCTGTACTTTATGCAATTACTCACAGTTAATATATCTTGGTAAATGAAATTTGAACTACATTGCTGGGAGCTGGTTTTATTTAATTAAACTATAGTAACTGAAATTGTGCATGCAGAGAATCATGCAAAGCTAGTGCTAACTGTACTCTCACAAATGGCCAAAATAGTTGTTCAAGGGTGTTTATTTCAAAACTGTATTCATAAAACAAACAAAAAAAATTAGGAACAATCTAAGCTCATTTTAAGGAAGATATCTTTAAAAAGATAAACATTTTAAGTTTAAGAAACACACGCAAGAAAAAACCCACCACATACACACACAAAACAAACTAAGGTATAGCAATAGGAGCTAGAAACAGCTGATGATGAACCTCTTCAATCTTCTTGGTCAAGTAAGAAGCATCTGGGTGGGAGTGTGGAAGGAATAGAGAGGGCTTAGGGCATCCCATGTGAAAGATGGCAATAAACCAGTGGGGACAATGAAGACTAAGTCAACGAGGAAAGAGTAAAAAGACCCTCAAGCTCTGGGAGCCCAGCTTAATCTGAAATCATGGAATATAACAAACTTGAATGGCTTGAAATTCTAGGAGTAGAAGTGGGAAAATGGGGGTGGGGGGAAGATGATATGCCCTGGGAGAGGGAAAGGTGGCGAAAACAGAATACAAAAGGGGATAAGAGAATTAAGGCATGGGTGGAATGGCTGAAAGGGGCAGGACCAATTGGATATGGGTATTTGAGTAGGAGAACTAGATGGACAGGAAAACTACTGTGGAAAGACTAAGTGGTAAGCAAGCATTTCAATGGTAATCATTGGTTTAAAATACACATGGTTTATATACAGCCCTTTATCCTTTTGTTAAGTAGCTGAAGACACATGCTGACTTTTAAAAATCCCCTCTTCATTGTTAAAAATAAGTTCTTGATTTATCTTTTATAAGATGAGGCATAGCATAGAACTGAAACAAAAGTATGATGATAGAAACGATCATTTCTCATTTACAGTCACATCCATAAAAGAGGAAATTCAGAATATCTACTACTCTGTTGCAAAACACCTAATCAGAATGATTTTTAGTAGGAAATTCCCCTTCAACAGTTTTCAGAGCTGTGAAATCTAATTTAGCTTGAATTTTCTTGTCAAAGTAGTTGAATTCATCAATGTCATAATCTACCATCCATTTTAATCTCCATAACAATTTAGGTATTTTTCCAATTTTAATATTTTCTAAGAAGCCATAGAAAAACATCTTATCTTAGAAAAGAAGAAACTGGGAGACAGAAGGTAAAAGCAAAGTTTTTGGAATATTTGGAGTTTCCTGCTTCTTTAGTTAACTAAATCACTAGTTCTTAGACATTTAGTGAGTCAAAAGAAATACTCAAAAAAAATATTTTTTTCCTCACCGATTCCCTCAAATACAATGGCATTAATATCATGTGTATTATTCTTTCTGTATCGGGCATTCATTGAAATATGAGTGTCTACAGTGTGCAGTCCCTGTACTAAAGACCAGAGATACAAAG